GTACATACTTAAATCCCATAATTTAACAATAGCATCTTGTACCTAACAGGTACTCAAGTACCTCCTGAATAGAACTGAGAAGTAGAAAGACATCTATCACATTACAAAGCGATTCAAATTGGCTTCCCCCTCATGTAAAGCGTTCAAGTTACTAAACACTGACAGATACAGGAGTGGGCTGGTGCTGACAGTGGTTCTCAGGTTGGCTGCACATTAGAGTCACCTGGGAAGCTTTTAAGACCCAGGTGCCCAGGCTCCCCCCAGCCCAAGCCCAATTACATCAGAATCCCCTAGCGTGGGACCCAGACTCTGGTCCACTTTACAGCTCCTGGATGAAGAGGATGGGTGAAGCTTGTTTTACCTGCTCTCACAAGGAGGCTTCCCCCAGGCCCTCGATCTTGTCATTCCTGGGGGCGGAACAGATAAAGCAGATGTGTACATACCCTTCTCATCTATAAGTCAGACTGAAATAAAAATCAGATAGATGATGGCTACTTTCATCTAAAAATACTGTTTTGCTTGCTTAAAGATTCTGAATTTTTAGTCAAACTCATAGAAGCAAAGAGTAGAATGGCCCTGCAGAGCGGGGGGATGCTGGTCAAAGGGAACAAACTGAGAAGTTCGTTAGAAGACGGCTAGCTCTGCAGGCCTAAGCACAGCATGCTGAATGCAGTGGGAACTGTGTACGGTGTCATGGAAATCTGCTCAGAGAGTAACCTTACACCTTCTCACTGCACACATTTAAAAAGGTAGCTGTGTGTGTTGATGGATGTCTGCATTAGCTTGATTGTGGTAAACATTCCACGATGTATATACTGTATCAAATCATCACACTGTGCACCCTAAATATACACAATCTTCCTGCTCTTAAAGTTTATATATACACACACACACACACACACACACACACACACACACACACACACACAAATCTTACTTGTCAATATACCTCAATAATATACCTACTAAGTACTCATAAAAATTAAAAATTATATTTCAGTAAAGCTGGGGGAAAAAAGATTCTAAATTTTCCAAACCATCTTTCATTCTCACTTTCTTGTTCTTGTCCTCTCCTCATCTGTCTGAGTAACACGTTAACACAGCGGCCAGGAGGGTTTCAGCAGAAGCTGAAGTGCGCACCTCCCACTTGCTTCGCAGTGCTCAGTCCCACCAACGTCCAGGAAGCATGAACAGCCCAGCCCCACTGGTCCAGTCGAGCACCTCGAGGCGCAGGTGTGGCAGAGGGAGAGCAACCACCTCCTCCGATGACAAAAGCACATCTTCAGGGCACCCGCTCTGCTGGTCAATGTGGCCAGCACAGCTGCCCAAACGAGGCTGTGGAACCAGGCAGCTGAGGTCAGGAATCCGCCCCATCGCTCCTGGAGAGAGGGTGTCTCGTCCGGCAAGAGTGGCCCAGCAGGTGGGAAGCAACAACAAGGACAGAGAAGGGAAGGACGCGGCATAGTAAGACCAAGAGGAAAGGTACACCCCGAGGACACAGGGATGCTTGGCTGTCAGAGAAAGGCAACTGTGTGCTCTGCAGAAGTATCTGTGGCATGTCTTCTAACCAGAAGTGTGTTTTAGAATTATTTTTAAAAACCCCCAAACCTACAGATCTGTGCATTTGCTACCACAGACGATGCTTTTCGGGCACTTAGGAGTAGAAGGAGTTAGAGAAGGGAGCAGAGGAGGGAGTGCACTGAGCAGGAGCAAACCCTGTCAGTGCTGCTTCACTGCTCCAAGAGGCTGCTTCTGGAAGGACCCTCCTCCATCCCACACAGTGAGAGTCCATCTGGAGGGGGCTGACAGCTTCCGGAAACCGAGTCAGCAGAAGCCCTGGCCAAGCCGTGTGTGACTCCACCCTGAGCTGTGAGCAGAGCTCTGCAGTGACCCCTTCACAGTCTTTCCTAAACACAGTACGGAATTGCTGAGGAACTAGCAAAGGCCATGCCTCGACACGCACAGCCTGAGGGGAGTCCACAGATGATGACCCCAGGCCAACCTGGACAGTATCAGAATGAGGCTTTCATAAGGAACTCCTCACATGTCTCCAACAGGCTCTCTCCCACTTTTGTAAATAAAACTTTATAGGAACCCAGCCACGCCTAGTTGTTCGACACAGTCTTCGGCTGCTCTGGCAGAACTGAATAAATGCAGCACAGACCATACGGCTTGCAGAGCCAAAATGATTCACCATCTGGTCCTTTACAGAAAAAGTTGGCCAACTCCTGGTCTGATATCACCACAGGGAAAAAAAAACTACAGCAGCTGTTACCTGGCAGGCAAACGCACAGAAATGGGCTTTCTTAGGCCTCAATATTAAGCTTCTATCTAGTCATCAAGCCCCACACTTTAGAAAGAAGCCCCTTTCTTGGTGGCTATGGGAGAAGCAGTGGTGCTCACCAAACACCACCCTTGTGGCTTCCAGTGCTGGTGGGAGGCTGGACCCTGTGACAGCCATGGAGGAGGGGTGGAACAGCCCGCCAGCTGCCTCCACCACAGCAGTGGGGACCTGTGGTGATGTGTTCCAGAAGGGCAGCCACAACATAGTGGCAGAGCCTACTGCCGACCACACCAGCTAGGAACCACGAGCAAAGAAATAAACCTTTGCTGCTAAACACTGAGATTCCGGCTTAATTTTTCCAATTAACATATTCTGGTCTACTCTGACTATAACTTAGAAAGGTGGCAAAGGAGGTGGCCTCCTTTGTGTCTCTCATTTCCCTCCACAGGGTATACAGCTCAGCTACATGACAAAGGAGAAAGCATGGCCAACACTAGGACATCCAGTCCTTCCACCTCTCAATCCTACTTGAATTTCAAATCACTTGCAAGGCAGTCATAACACTGGAGAGGTCCTATACAAAAATCAAGATGGTTGATGGAGGACAGGATTTATTATGCACAAACTTGGCAGCCAGGGCCAAGCTATACCCTCCTGAAAGCCACAGAGAAGAAATTATTATCCTGGTGACAGAATGGTCAGGGACAGGGTTTCCCTCTTTGAAGAATAATCTTGCTGGCTATGGTGGCATGTGCCTGTAGCTACCGGGGAGGCTGAAGCAGGAGGATCGCTTGAGCGTGAGAGGTCGAGGCTGCAGTGAGTTGTGATTGTGCCACTGCACTCCAGCGTGGGCGACAAAAAGAAGAGTCCTCTTCCCTCCACATTTTACATAATTTTCAGTGTGATATGGTGGGAAAAGCATAAGTTTTCAAAGACATGGAAAATTGACTTAAAAGGCAACCATGCTACTTGACAGCCTTGTGATCTCACCTAGCATGTAACCCAGGTGCCTTTCACCACCTTTTCCCAACTCTGGGGCTCAGTGTCATTATCTACTGATAATGGGGCTCCATCTACATGATCTCCAAAACCACTGCTACTCCAAAACTTCTATGAAGTCCAGGGAAGTAAACTGTCAAACAAAAAAATTTCCACCCCATCAGGAGCAATCTTTAACTGCTGGCAGTTTCCTCTGCTTTACAATGGGATTAAGGTTGAACAGTGCTTGCCTGGTGCCTGCTTTCACTGATGAGAAGACCCAGTTAATGTCAGGCAGGATTTAAGAAGTGGAAAGGACATAACATACTATCTTTCTTAATTTTCATACCCCAGTCTCTTTTCAGTTTCCCTTTCTTTGTACTTTTTATTAGAAAAGTGTTTAAGAATATGCAGTAAAATCTGACCTATAATTTGTATACACCCATAAAAGTTATCTAAACAGAAAAAAAATTTAACAATAAAATTTCAAACTTTAAAACACAAAAAAAAAAGTTATCCATCATTCCACCCCAAAGATACTTAAGAGTTTAGCATACATAATTCAAAAACTATGCAAACTATATTTTGTATAAAGTGAAATATATGTAAATTTTACAAGTTGCTTTTTTACTTAATTACTGTAGCTATCTTTTCATGTGAATTTCTATTGAGTCACCTATTCTTTTATAAAGCTACACAGTATTCCAGGGTATAGGTGAAGCAATACTGAGTGCTCTCTGTTGAGCCTGATTCCCTCCTCTTTACAATTCAGCTACCTGAGTCTGAATAAGGTGAATGAAGTCATGACAGTGAGAGCTGATAGCATGACTCACTCAAGCAAAGGTTAATTAAAAATGAAGGAAGCCTAACTGGCCATCTCCTTCTGCTCACAATCTCTGGCTGTCAGTGAGATTTCTTTTTACTCAATAATCACATAGACTAGATTTTTCTCATTCCAGGTTTCAAAATTCCCTGCAATCAAAGAACTCTGAAAAAAAATACATGAGCATATTCTGTTTGACTGTCCCATTTTGGGCTCTACTTCTATCTGACAACAGCACATCGGCACTAAACCCAAATATGCATGAAACGAAACCAATTGAGCTCACAGGCAGCATGCGGGAGGGCATCACTCTTACTTTCAATCAATATGTTTGGCTAAAACTGTCCAGCTTAAAATATGTCTCGTCAGAAAATAAAATATATTTACAATACTTAAATACTTCTAGTTGGCCAGGTGCGGTGGCTCACGCCTGTAATCCCAACACTTTGGGAGGCCAAGGCACGTGGATTGCCTGAGCTCAGGAGTTCAAGACCAGCCTGGGCAACATGGTGAAACCTTGTCTCTACTAAAATAAAAAAAAATTAAAAAAATAAAAATTATCCAGGCATGGCAACATGTGTCTATTGTCCCAGCTAGCTACTCAGGAGGCTGAGGCAGGAGAATTGCTTAAACTCAGGAGGCGGAGGTTGTAGTAAGCCGAGATCGCTCCATTGTACTTCAGCCTAGACGACAGAGCAAGACTCCATCTCCAAAAAAAAAAAAAAAAAAAAAAAATTCTAGTTAATTGAGTCATTTTCCATTTTCTCTTACAATTATACTGTCTTGAATAAATCCTATAAAACAGAAGGTAAAATAGGAACATCTACTAGTAATAGATAATAATACCCTCTTCTAAGAATTATGGGCCTTTAGTTGCGGAATGAGATGGAAGTACCTTACCCAGGCAGCTTATACCTTATACAGTGGACGCCGCACATCGATGGGGCAGTTCTGTATTACTTCATCAACAACATCCGAGATGGATTCCATGAAGTCTGGGTTGGCAAACTGAATCGTATATCAATATAAAAGAAACATTACACATTTCTCTCAAATAGAATAACATGAAAACTTCTGTAAAGTAACTTTAACAAATATACAATTTATTAAAACTTAAAACAATTCACATTGGAATGAAGGCTATGTCAAATGAATCCCACGTGGCTACATGCGCGTGGGGTGGTGATGACAAATTTCTCCTCATGAGGTAAAATGTGTGGACTTAGTGAAGAAAAAATATCCAGCAATAACAAAGACAGACCATCCCCACATCATGAATACACGGTGATTCAGCCTAATGAGAGAAGTGGGAAGCATGTGCATGATCTGTGTGAAGTGCAGCGAGAAACATGAGTGTATATCATTTGACAATAGTGTTAGGAAAAAATTAGGATATAAGGAAAAAAGAAACAGGTTCAATGAAAGATTAATTAAACTTGGTCTAGAAGATGGGGGAAGTGTTTTGTTTAATGAGAAGTGTTTGTTTAAAATGAAACAAGCCACGTGATAATCATGTTATTGAATACACAGCCTCACATGCAGTTCCATAAGTTAAATAAGCTAAAGAATAACTAATTCGGCTCAATTACATTTCCTCTGAAATATTTTAAAAATCAAGGAAAACTTCAAGTATCATCTCAGAGGAAGGAGGAAGACGTTCAGGTGCTCACCAGCTGTTCTCTGGACATTTGACACATTTCAAATCAATACTATTAAAAGTGAGCATTCACTAGATTATCACTGTTATTATTTTATTCATCAGATTACTAGTGAGGTATACGTTCTGTGCTGTTTCTCTGTACAAAATAGTGACATACACATCTAAAAATAAGAAGCAGTTTATAACCCACCTTCTGAATATAAACTGAATTAGCCAGGAAAATATACCAAAATATAAATAAAATGCATTATATGAAAATCTTAAAATGTGCCTCTTAATTACTGCTTTCTGCAAAAGTACTAATAATTCCTTATGACTGCTAGTTAAAATAACATTTCTAATTCTTAAGATTATCTAAATAACAGAAATGCTGGCCTTAGACAGAAACTTTACCTAACCTGCAGCAGGGAACAGAGCAGGACCCACTGTCCAGGGTTAAAATTAGAAGTTAGGAAGGGCAATCACCAAAGATAAGAAGGTTATAGATTATCCCACTCTTATGCACAGGCAACCTCCACATAGTCCTTGAGATTAGCTACTTGTAATACTAGCTTGTGACCACCCACAACCTTTGGAGATTACTTTCAATTCTATCTTCTATTGCTCCTGAACGTCTTCCTATACGTGGTATAACCCATCCTTTACTATTAAAGCAGATAACCAAGTCTATGAAGAGGCAATTGAACAATCTGTCAAGCAGACAAACTGCGCGGGGGACACAGGGAGAAGACCGAATGGCAGCCACCCTGCTCACCGGCCCTTTCCTGGGAACCACTCTTTCTGCACTCTGGGTGGCAGTATCGCTCCATCCACACACTTCAGCACACAAAAAAGAAACATCTTACCTCTGGATGAAAGAATATTTCAGGTCCCAGGAACCTTTCATAACCAACGTCTATAACGAACTTCTTCTGGTTGATCGCATTAATGCCCGTGTACTGTTTGATCCACTTCCGGGGATCCACATCATATTTGGCAAATTCCTTGACTATATCGGGGCAAATGTAACAGTATTTCTCCTGCATACACACACAAAGACGTTGCCAGGCATTAACAACTGCCCAGTGTCTCTGCCCTCAGACAAATAACCAGGAACCCCAGGCAGTAAGCACACCCCTGGAATCAGATCTGCCCCCACTGCAACTCTAGTGTGGATGTGCCGTCAAGCCTCACATTCCACATGAGTACACTTGGACTTTGGACAGTTAAGTCTGCTTTCTCGGCAACTCAGCTATTAATCTCAGCCTTGGTCTATCCAATTTTACTGCGATCCTATCTGAAATGACATCTACAGGTGTCTACAAGCACCCTGTCTTGCCTTGTTCCTCTCAGGTGCCCCCTAAGGCCTGCCCTGGCACCTCTCTGTTGTCCACACTGGACCAGCAGATCCGTGCTACCGTCTCATCTACCGAATGCAGCACCGTCTACACCCTCATGCCTGACTGCAGCAGCTTCTTTGGGTCCCAGCAGTCCACAAGCCAGGTGGCCACTGTCAACCTGCTGGTTGTTAATCTGGTGTGGAGTTGGCCGCAACACTGTCATTGGCTCCCCTGACACTACTATCTCTCTAAGGTAGAGATAATGTACCTTGTTGATGGGGTATTCTAAGTCCCTCAATCAACACATATTTATTGTCTAGGCACTTCAGATACACAAGTGACTGAAACAGACACAGATCCCTGCCGAGATTACACTCTAGCTGGGAGTCAGACAACAATACGCAACCATAACAAGTAAATGACACGGTAGTTTATAAAGTGATAGGTTCCGGGGAACAAAGGAAAAGCAAAGTCAGGCAGGAGGCCTGAAGCCATGCTGCTGCGAGAGAACTCGCTTATGGATCTTAGCGACAGGCAGCCTGAGGTATGCAAAATGTCTGCTCGTGTGGCTGATGCTCTTGGACACCTCTGTGTTAATCATGTGTCCTTAAAGCTGACCTCAGCAAAGCAGCAGGTGACCCCCAGGTACTAGATGCTGAAAGTACACTGCCTATAGGAAGAACCAGGCGGGCTGCCCAGCTGGCACTCAACACACTGGAAGGAATGGCACTCTCAAGGATCTCCGAAGACGTTCTTGAGGTATTAAGTTTAAAGTTTCCTAGCATCCCTGAAACATATTCTGGGTATCTTTGATATACTCTAGCAGAATTTTAAGAAGAACGATAGGCACTAAGTGTTGCACAACCCTGTGTTCCTTGATGACACAGAGAGACAGGGTCAGCTGCTGATGACAACCTCAAATCTACCAAGACTGGAGACAAAAGCATTCAGCTGTCCGCAGAGGCCTGGTCAACATCCTACGGCATCTCAATTTACTTAACTGAAATGCTTCCCTTGAAATGCTTCCATAGAGGCGGATACAGAGTAGCAGGCTTAATCTTAAGGTTCAGGATTCATGCCGCAAGGGTGGTATGTTCACGTTACATACTCCCTCAGGCCTGCTCACGACCACAGAAGGCCACGCAGTAAGGGGAAGCAGGGGGACTCTAAACCATGCCTTTCAGGATCTGTTCCTTTAAAGAGAGAAATGAGGCAAGAACAGGACTACCCCACACAGCAGGGACAGGGCAGCTGATTTGGAGGCTATAAGCGGAGTCTCTTTTACTCCCAGCCCTCACAGGGGGGTGACACACAGTCACATTGAGCACACCAGCTCAGATTTCAGGGTCCAAATGGGAACTCAGACAGCCCATGAGGAGAGGTAACGCCCAGCATGAGGGCCGCTCAGCATTCCTGGCAGAAATAGGGAGGACTCAGACTCATTGAGGGCATCAATAACAAGAGGCTCAATTATTTCCTTTTTTTTTTTTTTTCTTTTTTGAAATAGAGACGAGATCTCGCTATGTTGCCTGGGCTGGTCTTGAACTTCTGGCTCCAAGCAATCCTGCCAAAGTGCTAGGATTATAGGTGTGAGCCACTATGAAGGGGCTCAATTCTGACTTACATTTCTAACATATTTGAAGTGGCAAGGGAGCTTCAAATAGCCAAATGTTCTACCATTGAGGAAAGGGAAAGAAAGGAGAAGGTAATCCCTTAGAAGATATTTTCGTCTAAAAAAGAATGTTTAATGATGCCTCAGGAAAGCTTCCTCCGAAGGGACCACATCTTCCCCAACATCACCTTTTCAGCATTGAGAGCCCATTCCCAGGAATCTCTGGTCACAGGTAAAGCAGGGCGGGTGGTACCCGACTGCAGAGCCTCCGCCATGCCAGTGCCTCCTGGCCTAAAAACACCTCGGGAATCATCTCTGATGTTTCCTTTCCTTCAACCAGCCTCAGTTATGAGGTGCTGAGATGGGAGGAAGGCAGTGAGGAGAAGGGTGGGTGTCAGGCTCACCCCCAAAAAGCTCCGCTACACTCAGAAAGTATGCAGTATGGCCAGGCATCACACCCACACCTATGTGAATTTTGTGTAACAGCTCTGGAGCCTAGGGTGGCAGTGTTCTGCTGCTGTGGTTGCCTCCTAATTCTAGAGCAAAGCATGGAGGCGGTGTGGGAGGAGCGCTCTGGTAGCTGAGGGCTCTGGCAGCAAGGCTCCAGCTGAAGATGCTGCCTCTGCACACTGGCGCGCTGCACCACCTACCAAGCTGTGCTCGGTGACAGCTGGAAACCTCAGAGCATCAATTTGGAAGAGGTTAAGCTTTACATCTTCAGCCCACTTAACTCAAGGGGTAAAACAAATCAAGCCCCACACTCATGGGAAGGGGAAAGGAAGGAGAGGAGGAGCAGGGACGATGGCACCAAGGGGAAGTGTCCAGAACACCATGTCTCTCACCCCCAAACCAGCCGGTTTCCCGTCTGTTTTTACCTTAATGGCTTTTGCGGTCTCCAGTGACTGCTCAGGAGGGATTCCCACCTCCCTCTCCCTTAGCAGCTGTTGAATGAAATACGTAATATCTCTACCTGCAATCGGGATGTGTTTGATGCAGCTTCCAATAACATAACCTTCTGCCTAGGGAAGAAGAGGAGGCAGAACAGCTATATTAGTGATTCCGTGGTGGAGAGCAGCCTGGACGCATGAGGTTTCCTGTCTCAGCCTCCCTGTCTGCCCCTCACAGCACTAACAAGCATTTATGGAATCCCCACCCTCTACAAGCTCAGTACGGGAGGTCTTTCAAAATGACTGGGTATGCAATTCCATTAATATTCAAATTTCTAGATTATTCCAATAACCTGACACTCTCCAAAAGCAACCAAAATGATATGCTCATTAGGAATATGAAAATAAAAACCACATAGGATTTTTTTTTTTTTTTTTTTTTGG